GCATTAATGGTTTCACCCTGGTAAGAAATTCAGTAAGCAAAAAACCCTTTCCTATCCAGAAGACAGGCACATGATTTTTTGTTGATGACATTGTCACTTTGAACTTTTTTTTTTTTTTCAGAGAATGAGTGTGTCTCCACTCCATCGATTGTCGTTTCGATTCGGTGTGAAATGACATAACCCAAGTTTCATCACCTGTCACAATTGGTTTAAAACGTTTTCTCCCTCATCACTGTACCGGCATGAAAATGTCAGGGCACTACCAGCGCTTTTGTTTTGTAACATGAGCATTTTTGGAACCCATCGGAACACAGTTTACGATAATTCAAGCGGTCAGACACAATTTCGAACAAAACAGTATGTGAAATTTGTGGAAATGCTTCAGAAAGAGTGTCATTGTAAAGCGTCTGTTTTCATGAATTGCTTCATCAACTTTCCTTACCAAATCATCGGTGACAACAGAAGGCCGACCACTCTGAGCCTCGGCCAGTTTAACATTCCTCGCATTCAAAAATTTAATCACGGCACGAATCTCACAGTCAGCGGGAGAACTAGTTGTCTTAAACATTTTGAATGTGCATAGCAAACTGAAAACACAACATAGAGCAACCAAAATGGCAACAATTGAAAGTCAGTGAACAAGAAAGACTAGTGCGTATGCACGGGACGCCTACCACAGCGCTAGAATGAAACGGTACTTAGTTTCCGAATACACTACGTATATATATTTTATCTCTAAAACTTGTCATTGCCTGAAAATTGGCAGTAATATATAACATAAGTATGTATATTAGTGTGTTGTAATGTTGTGTACAGTATTCATGTATCAACTGTTAATAAGTTACATAAAGACATCTTAAAGAAAGTTAATCATTACATCTCTTGGTGATTATTGATTTTTTTTAACAAGTGGAAGATAAAATTAATAGCAAAATAGTAAGTACAAGTATTATTTTAGTTTAATTATATGTATAATACTTTTTATATTAAAAGGTTGATTGAGGTCGTGCGTGCACAAATTAGTTTTTGTGTAATTTTGTGTCCGTGCGTAGTTCAGCTTTTTTTTGCCAACTTGCACTTTCATGCCTGAAGTAATTGACAAAATGAAAAGGGCCATAATTTGATGAACACTAAATACATGATATTAATATCAGGTTACAAAATTAGTATTAACATGCATTACATATTTATCTTCCACTACTTCCAACAAGAGTGTCCTTCACCTCCCTGATGTTCTGGAAAATGAACCAGAATTGAAACATTTTGCTAGCTGGGGTTGAGATGTAGCGTTCTGGTTTTTATGTTCACGAAAGTCACTGATATTATCCTCAACATTCCCCATCTTGAGTTTAGGTAGCTAACAGAAATCAGCATCTTTTTCAGTGTGGAGACCTGCAGGATTTGTGTGTTAATTGTCCACTTTGTGAAGTTTTGGTATCCTCAGCAGGATTCTTTAGTCTTCTGAACGACGGCAGCATCCAGATGAATGTCTATCAATTCTAAAGGCCCGTCCACACGAATACGCTCGAAACGTAGCTGACGAACGCGCTTTTACGTTACCAGCGTAAAAGCGTCCAAACGAGTACGCTTGCGAAGAGTGCGTTTAACCAATAGAATGATTTTGCGCAAAATCACGTGACGCTGTAATATAGCATCACAGAGCTGTATCTTATTACTTTTACTTCGCTGTTTCTTCTGTATGTTTGCGGCAAGTTGTCCGAATCAGATGATCTTTTGTATAGCTGAAACTTTACTATTATGTGCAATTATAAGCAGAGGCAAAACCGCAAAAAATGGCAAGAATGAGTCCGAAAAGATTTATTTAGAGCGACCTGTTCAAATAGGTTTTTTTTTTTTTTTTTCTTTACTGCCTTGTTTGCGAAAGGAATCTGGAATTTTTAAATTCCTACTATTAGCTCACACTCTCCCTATATCTTGTTCAAATTTTCAGTACATAAAATGCTTTTTATTCATCCACTCAAGTTCAATACAATTTTTTAAGCTTGCAGTGAATGACACTTGATGTTAATACAGCTTTTTTTCACATATTAAAATTTTTTTAATTTTAATTTAAAAAAAAATGTTTATATTTATTTATTTATGTATTTTTAAACTTTTCTTTGTGGACTAAGTAGGAATTGACTTAATTTTTTTTTTTTGGAGGGGTATATTAACTTGTTTTTTAATTCCTTCAGGATGAGTATCGACCAGTTTGACAGACTTGCAGATTCTATATCGTATGAAAATTACATTTATAAAATTGGTTTGGAATACAGTATTAAAAGAGAATTAAATTACTCATTCTCTTTATATACACCATCCACCATGTAATAAAACCAACTTCATATTTTTGAACTCGCTCTCCCTTGGTCTTTTGTTTTCTTTATTTATTTTTGAATTTAGAATGAGGTTCAAACTTTGGACAGTTTATGAGAAATTATGTGCATGATAAAATATGCAATGAAGTAAAAATAAAGAGAGAATTTATAGATGATATATGATAAAGAGATGCAGATATATTTTACATAAGGATTTTCTATTTGCACTGCACATTTTTAAACTAAATTAAAACAATAATAATAATGAATAAAATAAGAAATGAAAACAATAATAATAGGCAGAATAAGAATATAATGATTCATGATTAAATATAAGAAACACGTTTCAAAACGAGAAAAGCTAACTGAATTATACCGTCTACGGATGAGGTTCGAACTCGCCACCTTTCCTTTCCTCCGCCACCAAAGCAGCGCGCTGACCACTCAGCTATCTGTGATAGCAGTGTTTGTGAAAAATAATGTAGCAAGTAGAAGTCGCTGCAAAGGTAATTTAATTAAACTTCAATAAATGATTGCGTATGCACAAGTTGTAACTTTCCTCCAAAATTTCGTGATTGTATTTTATTGAATACTCTTTCACAGTCAACTGCTTTATTTTAGAAGTTATTATATTGCTGAAGTTAGTTTTTGGTGTATTTAATATTGGGATATTTATAGAGCTTTTTATTACACATGATATAGCCAATATTTATAATAATTAAGGAGAATTTTGTAAGGCAGAAACTTTGATTTCGTAGAAGACTGTAATTTATTTAGGTTCCTATTACTTACGGTTTTATAAATAGGTGAAGCATATGGATATACTGGTCGGATCATTGCTTTATAAGTATACAGTTTTCCCCTTCAATGAGAATTTTAAATGTATATAATATGTACGGTTTGAGAAATCTGAAAGATGGCGTGAACAGTTCTGATTATTTTATTGCTGTATACAGTTATATTTCTAAGCAAAAACTCATCTCTGTGTGGCTCTGACGCCATATTGAAACGGGTAAGCAAGAAGGTTTTCTGATTATGACACGTGATAAGAACTCGGTCGGCTATTGGCTATACGCGCGCGTCGCGGGCGAAAAAGCTGAACAGGAGTGTACTCAGTTTTACGTCTTCTGCGTCCTGCGAATTTACGCCGGCGTCAAAAAAGTTACGTCAACTACGTCGGGAGCATCCTCGTGTGGACGGACCTTAATGGGCAGTTTTTTTACATATGTTCACAAACACGCACACACGAATATCATTAATTAAATAACAGTTATAAAAATGATGATTACTCAAAAAAAAAAAAAAAATTACATGTAGAATGTAATGAAATTGACCCACAGTATACAATACATAGTACAGTATAAAATAACATGAAAAGAGGTTACCATGCAATTATGCTGTTATAGAAATGCACATGCGATTATGCATATGTATAAAATGAACAAATCATTGCAAATGTGGCAAAGGTTTGAAGAAGAGGATTGGGAGCAGCTATATGTCTTCCCAGTGCATCCCAAACATGCATGAATAGGATTCAGGTCAGGTGATTGAATGCATGTTGTTTCATGCACTGAATTTTTTGCTGCAGAAGATTATCACCCACAATGCGAGCCCTCTGTGGTCTAGCTTTGTCGTCTTGTAGCTAGTAATCGTCACCTATTGAACCTCGGTATAAGAGCACACATAAGTATAACGGCTGTCATTTCTGTAAGCTTGAGTATTCATTGTTCCATGTGGAAAGACATTGAGGTTTGTGTGTTCACCCAAGGAGATACCATCCAAATACAGACACTGCCTCCTCCATATGCATCTCTTTCATGGAATGATAATGGTTTCCAAGTTCTGTCCAAATCAAATAATGCCTATTATCACTTTTGAGGCTAAATCTGGACTCTGCCATAAAGAGAACAGCCCTCCATTAATCAACTGTCCAGTGGACCTCAAATGTTCTCTTCTATGGTGACATGTGCGGCACGCAAATGGCTGGTCACGTTGCACACAAACTTTGTTTGTGAAGCCTTCTATGTACGCTTGACATTGACACCAACCATCTAGTGGCTGCAGCAAGGGAGGATCTGAGGTTCTATTCATTCGTGAACATAACAACAAATATCAGTCATCAGAGCACGTTATAGCGGTTGGCTGTCCTTGGTTGAACCTCCTGGATACCGAATCTGTGGTTAGAAATTGTTACCAAAGTCTGTGAATCACAGAAGGACTCATTTAGCCATCTGGCCACTTCTGTCTGACTTTGTCTTGCGTCTATAGTTCCCAATAGTTCTACATCGCAATTCTTCAGGCAATTAAGCCTGGAGATCATTTTTATAAATTGGTTATCCCAGATTTCTTACCACAGCGAAATTAGCAGGCTGGCTTTGAACGGTGCAATTTTATGCTCCTTGCAAAGGGTATATTTCATTGCAATGTCACTAATTTTCATACTCCAGTTTTACTGAGCAATTCTTATATGACAAATATGTTCCAATTTTATACGGAGTGGCCTATTTTTGAACGAGTTCTTGCTATTTTTGTGACTTTTCCGTAATTTTTGGAAACCAGTGTATATATATAATATTTGGGATAACTTTAAAATAAAAATTTGTGATACTGTTATATATATATAACGAAATTGATATAAATTGATATGTCATAAGTGATTTGTGTAAAAAATTATTATTGTAGGTTAGCAATATGCCAGCAAGTACTGAAATGTCTTGTGGACCGTGTAGAAAGGGAAGAAAAAAATACTCAACGAAAGCAAAAAATGAAGGAAACTGCTGAAGAAAGAAAAGTTAGAGCAAGCAATGCGAAACTTCAGACAATGCTTGTGAAACATACAGAACTGTTAAGAAGAGATATTCTTAAAAAGCGTGCTTTAATGGAAAAGGAAATACAAGTTGAAATACAGGTAAGAAACTTTTTACAGTGTTCTTTAAAAGTATAAGATTAATACCAGATTTCCACTTACATGTACACATATATATGTATTCGTCATTCCCTTAAAATCAGAACAATTTATTCACTATATTCTCATGTACGTAGGTAAGTTGAAAAATAGTTTCCCCTGTCGACTGTGGTCTGAGTTGTGTATGAAAGTCAAAAAATAGAATGAGACATTAAAGATATGACATACCTTTATTTTATTATTCTCGTACGAGTACGTTGAGACATTTGTCATATCGCTTGATAAGTTTCAAAAAGTCCTCCAAGAAAAATTCACGCTTTGCATATGGAAGAAGCGTTGAATGGCTATGGGTGAAAGGCGACACAGCAGGAAAACGCGCAAGTCACCGATACACCATTGGGTAGAGGTCGCTGCAAATCAAGCAGATGGCGCTGTCGCAGTGCCTGCGCAAAGCGGAGACCAGCCTCTCATTTGAGCCCCGGTAGGTACGGAGAGAAGGTGCGTTTTGAATTCGTGGTCAAAGGAGGAAGTGAGAGCGGTTATTCACTATGAATGGGCACGTGGAGTATCAGGAACAGAAATTCATAACCGCCTCGTGGAAGTCTATAGGCCAGGTGTGATGTCGAAGCAAATGGTGCGGAGATGATGTCGCACATTCAGTGATGGACGTCAGCAAGTGGAGGACATACCGAGAGCTGGACGGACGCGCACGGCCACTACAGATGCAAATGTCAGGAAGGTGGATGACATGATTAGAGCGAACCGGCATATCACCATCGATGAAGTAGCGGAAGGACTTGGAATCTCACATAAGCGAGCTCAAAACGCCATCCACGACATTCTTCGATACAGAAAGGTGTCAGCACGATGGGTGCCCCGACAATTGACCTCGACACACAAGAAACAACGCATGGAGGTCAGCCTGGAACATCTCGTGCGTTACCATGAAGATGGCAATGACTTTCTGTTCTGGATTGTGATGGGGGATGAAACGTGGGTCCACCATTTCACGCCAGAATCGAAGGCCGCATCTATGGAGTGGAAACATCCGCCATCACCTGTCCGAAAGAAGTTCAAGACAACTCCCTCTGCAGGTAAAGTGCTCCTCACAGTTTTCTGGGACGCCCAAGGAGTTTTGTTGCTGAACTTTTTGGAGGTTGGAACCACATCAATGCTACACCTTACTGTGACACCCTGTCGAAATTGAAAGAGGCGATTCGGAAAAAGCGGCCTGCCCTTCTCACATCTGGTGTTCTGCTGTTGGATGACAATGCCAGACCCCATTCGCCGATGGCAACGCAAAACCATATTGCAACTCTTAGTTGGGAGCGCCTACACCATCCGCCATACAGTCCTGATCTCGCACCAAGCGACTTCCATCTGTTTCCGGCTTTGAAGAAAAATCTCGGGGGAAGGCGCTTTGGAAGCAATACTGAAGTGAAACAAGCCGTTCAATGCTTCTTCCAGATGCAAAGCCCTGATTTTTTCCTGGAGGGCTTTTTGAAGCTTATCAAGCGATATGACAAATGTTTCAATGTACTTGGTACCTATGTGGAAAAATAAAGGTATATCATATCTTTAATGTCTCATTCTATTTTTTGACTTTCATACACAACTCTGACCACAGTCGACAGGGGAAACTTATTTTTCAACTTACCCTCGTATATACGAGTTTCACCTGGAAAATCATCTCAAGTTGGAAAAAATTTTAACCTTTTTCAGAAAAGTGGAGGAAAATGAGAACTTTTTTCTTAAAGTAAAAAAAGTAAAAATGTACAGATCATTCAAATAATAAAACATTTATGTTTTCAATAGTATGCAGTTAAAAAAAATCTCACTCTTGGATGAGAAAGGAAATGATGAGTTATTGTATTCTTTATTTTTCTTGCAGCAATTTTGCTACGCCTTGCATTTGACTTAATTTGAACAGCCTATAGCTTTTTTATCCTTCTGTCAGTCAGTTGTTATGTAGAAATGTTAACTCGCCTTTTATCTGTTTCTTTAGACATGTAAATGACTCAAAAACAGTGTAGTTAAGAAAATATTGTTTGGTTCCACATTATAGTAAAGAACTACATTAATTTTTAGACACTTTAATGATTGTACAGTAGAATACAAAGTCCAAGATTCAGAACCTTTGGGACTTTGGCTATTGCAGATTTTAGATCATCAGTTTAAATTTAGTAATATAACAGGAAAAAATTATAAAATTGAAAGTATGAAATAGAGAGGTCCAGATTAGACAAATCGGTCAATAATCAATTTCAACGTTGCTTCAAGTCCAGGATGAGAAAGGTTATGGAAAGTTGAAAAGACAATATTTCTATGACTGTCTGGAACAAAAGGAGGGATTTTTCCATTTGAAATGTCGCAGTATAGTTCTACAAATCTCTCAGACATGTTTAACTTTTTTAATGTAGAATTGAATTTTCTTTGTCTAAAAAGAACTGGAATACAATGTCACTCTGTTGCGTTGGTGACCTAGAGTCATAGATCGTAGGAATTAGGTTAGTAACCATTTTGATGCGAGAGAGCATCAGATAATCCATTTTCTGCATCACTCACATGCTGAATATCAGTAGTGAACTAACATAATGAAGTTGATTAATTTTGCGATGGAAGAGCTTGTCATACTTTTGAAAAAAATGCTTTTGTGAGTAGTTTATGATCTGTAAACAGTGTAAAGTTCATACCTTAAAGGAGATATCTGATATATACTGTATAGTGGCAAATATCTTCAAAAGCTCTCTTGTACGTACTGTATTTCCGTTCAGTATCACTTAATTTCCTCGAAAAGAATATTTTTGGTTCCCATGTATGTACGTTACGTTACTGGACGCAAGCACACCTATGCCTTCTGAGGCGTGACGCATAACGACAATTTTCTTTTGTGGGTCTGGATGCACTATCACTTGATGTTTATCACTTTTAGAGAAAATAAAATTGGGGAGGGCTCGACATCTATTTGTTTTATTATTATTATTATTTTATTAAATGTTTCTTTTAGTCTAACTTATTTGAGGTTTCTTTTGGGGGGCATGCATGCTACTTTGTCTAATTTTGAGGATGGGCATAATTTCTTGCTCAGCTAGAAAGTTCCATAATTCTAGTCTTATAATTGCCATGTCTAAAATTTCCACTAAACTGTCGGTCGGATTCCTTTTATTTTCAAAAATTTGAATGTCACTTTCCTCACTATTGTTAATGGTACTTTCTGGATTTAAAACTATACTTCAGATTTTGTTGTTTGTTAGTTGATTGCTAATTGGTGCAGTGTTACCAGAGTGGAGAACTTCTGTTATATCATACAAATTCCATTAATTGGAAGTTTTTACTTTCTAATAACGTTCTAAATCATCACCAAAATAAGGTTGCTTTTTTGCTTAATTTTGAAATCTCTCATTCTAAGCTTGAATTGCAGTAGAAGGCGAGTAAGTACCAAATATATTTTTGATTTATGAATCCTGCAACGATTCCAGAATTAGAAAGTCTGTACTACGTAATCAAAAATTCAAACTTTAGTTATTAAGTAAGGAAGAACGCTATTTGCTGTGTTTACTGAACTTAATTTCTTCCAAATCTAATTCTCTCTTCCCACTGTAATGTCAGGCTAAAGAAAACTAATATTAGCAGCATCTCAATCCAAACAAATATGTCTTGATGCTTCACTTATTGTTTCATTTAACTCTCTCTTCCCACTGTTATCTCCCCCTCGGGTTGCATTGCATCACAGCAATACTATGACAGTAGCATGATACTGCAAACCTGGAACCTATGACCAGAAGGGCAGCCAGTGCCGTTCCAGATGGTCTTGCCTTCAGCCATCTAAGCAGGCTAGCGTGATAGCCAGAACTGCTGTTTTACAATAGTCGTCCCTGCCCTTTGTGGTCTCTGCACGCCTGGAAGTGGTGACTCTGGGTTGCCGGTTGTTCAGCGAAGGGTGTTGAGAGAGTTCCAATTTTTCAAAATTCTGCCTTAGTGGAGTGGGATCCCATTACAAGCGGCTTATGAGTGTCCTCTTGGGGGCTTTTTGACAATTCTTCCAACCTTCCGCCTAATATGGAAGTGTGCGATTCTTGCATGTCCCACTATTGTGCCAACAAGGGCTTATTATTTAGAATAGATAGAAAAATATTAACTCTCTCCCCATTTCCACAACCACTCAAGGGCTGAAAGTGTATCGTGGCTAATTGTTAGTCAGTGCACTACCAATTGCCATGGTGGGATTTCGTACCCAGCAGGTATTTGAAATTGACATGCAAGAGTCTTGGTTAATCAGGAGAGAAATCATTTTTATATGACACATTTGCCCTTTTTTCTTGAATATTATATTCTCCATTCCTAAGTCTCTGAGGGGTGAAAAATTGCCGATGGTCAAGATTTCGATTTTCATGGTGTATTTTTTATGAATTATGTTCTGTTATAAATTCTTTTTGCAAAGTGAATAGTTTTTCCAGATTTTGATATTTTAGAGATGGATGGATTGTCCATAATTATCACTGATATGCATTCTTTGTCATAAAAATATGGTTGTGACCAGAATTGCAATGGAAAATGCCAAGTTCTTAAATGATTGATTAAATCTTATGATTGTGCTGATGTCATGTCTGGGGGGGTGATATTTATGGCTGGAATGCAGTGCTTTTTAGCCAAAACCCTCTAGGTTATTAATAGTGATGTTGCTGGTTTATTAGCCCCCTGCATAGTGACAGAATTTTTTTGTGTTCTATAAGTGTACCATGGTTAGCTCTCTTTTATATTTCAAAGTAGAGTAGGATCTGAAGTTGGAAGTTTTTTTATTTAAAGGTTCATTGTGTTGAGAGAGAAGAAAATTGGGGATTTAAAATGCATGGATATATAAACTACTTTGAGTTTGGAAGTAGAATGATTGGCAAGTTCTTAACCAATTCCAGAGGCTTGGGAGGAGGAGAGGAAGTCAGAAATAGTAATGTAAGGATGTTAAGGGTCGATTAATGACTGGCAGTTTTCATGCCTAGTTGCAGAGGAGAGATATTTAAAATAGTGTAGCACTATAGTAGTTTGTATCAGGAGGGCTTAGGATAATCAGTTTTTCATATTAAAAAAAAGGAATCTTTCAAGGAAATTATTTATTCTTTAACATTGCATTATTTATTTTAACCAAAAAGAAACTTATTTTTAGGCATGAAGTGGTTTTAATTATATTAAATTGTATTTTCCTAGAAAACAAGAAATTGCAAATTTTCTTTTTTCAGTTTGCTGTTCCTCCTCCTAACCAATTAAATTTATTTTAGTTGTCTTCAGTTGAAAGCATCATGCTTTTTTGTTTTAATTCATTTTTCTTGCCTAGGCTGTATTGTGCCTATTATTTGTTTCTTTTGTAAAGTGGGTTTGATATCTTTTTTATTGTTATTGATGATGTAAAAGAAATTTTGTTTGTTCTTAAATTTTAAAGAAGTTTTTAAATGTGTACGTATGTTTTCGTAATGCTATTTTCAGAACTTTACTGTAGCTTTAAAATAATTTTCATTTATTTTAATTAACAGGCTGAAGTACAAGATGAAATCAAGAAAAGGGAAACTCTAACAACAGCAATACCACCTCAATCTCTATCTGTTCAGGCACCAGTAATTCAACAGAAAGTAGTTAAAACTGCAAAATCTCCAAAAGCTGCAACTGCACCGACAGCAGCAGCAGCGACGACAACAACAACAACTAAAGGAGCAAAAGCATCTAAGTCACCAAAAGCTGCTAATAAACCTGTTCAAAATAAGACTCCCAAGGTTGAAAAGGAGATTAAGGAAGATAAAATTGCTAAACCACCAAAAAAGAGGAAGTCACAATCAAGTGAAAGTGATGTTAATGCAGAGCAGAATTCTAAAACATCTAAAAAGCAGAAAACTATGTCTATCACAAAGCCTGCAGATCATAAAGCTCTTGATCAGAGGAAATTGTACTGTATATGCAAAAAGCCTTATGATAGTAAAAGGTATTTATCTTTTATCTAAATTTGTTTCTATTTTTATACAATTTTCTAAATGTTATTTAATATGTAAGCAATGTGACGTCAGGCTATTCAAAAATGACCAGATTTATTTTTAATTATATTGTTTTTTACACATATATATTTTGATCCCCTCCAAAATGTTCTGTATCAGTATTAATACAGTTTTCCCATCATCTTTGCCCACTGCTAGACAGAAGAACAAAAGAAGCAAGTCCTGAAATTCTTGGTATAGAATATTGTTCAAGGCAAACAACATATTTTCTTGCATTTCATCTACATCTCTGAGTTACTTTTAAAAAAATTTTATTCTTGGAAATTTTAGAAAGTCAACTTAAGCGAAACGATGATTAATTGAATAGATGAGGCATAAGCATTGTGTTGTTCTTCCCTGAGAATTATTTAGAAATCTGATGAATGATCTTTTGAAAAATTACTTCAGTAGCTTATTAATGTTTTGTTTATTTTGCATTTGTTATGTTGCTATTTTTTAATGACTCATTCATTTGTGATTTATGCCTAGTATCATCTTTAAAGGTTTACTGAAACAAACAGTTCTAGCTACTGTTTCCTGTAACATAAATTACAATCACATTGTTTGTTCTTTGTATTCGTGTATCCCAAAAAAAAAAAAAAAAAAAAAAAAAAAAATCGTAAAGTGCAGTGAACAAGAACATAAATATAGTACGAGGTTTGTAGCGGCCCTTACAAGTACTTATATGTCCTTATATTTGAAAATAAAATATAAAAGCCCTTATAGGTGCTTACTTTTTCTCTAAAGTCTAATTTTTTTTTTATTTTAGTGCTCTTTTTTTTTTTTAACGAACGCACATTTTTCCTCGTACCAAAGCCGAAACTAAATAAACAACTTTTCTTCCTTATATGGAACATCAGATGGTGAATCATACTCCAGAAATTGCTTTTCGCTCCTTTCTCTGCATTAACATAAACTTTGGTGCGCATGAGTGCAGACAGTTGCATTTCATTCTATTGGTCAAAGAATTGCAAAAGCAGTAGAAAATTACAGTACATTCTCTATTCTTTTGCTCCCGCCCAATATTACACATGTTTAAATTTCTATCAAGATTTTAATAATTTACATTCTAGTTCCACATGATCAGTTTATATTCGTGTTTATTATGAGCATATGTATAAATAAAGTCGATTCCGGTTGATCGTACCACATCGGAAAGCGATTGTTTTGGTCCTAATAACCGGCTGATCCAATTACACGAACATGTCTTATGTTATAAGACGGGACGGCAAACAGTAAATGTACATGTAAATCATGTACTAAAGTGTAGTTATGAATTTTATGGTGCGATACACGTGTATGGCAAACATACATGTATAAACAAGAAATACAGTCGAACTTTTTTTCATTGAAAAAATTAATTTAGAAACAAATTCTAAGAAACAATCTCCATGATACTCAACATGCAAAGCACAATAAAACAATTTTTTTACCAAGTTCCAGTCAACATTTGAAGAACTTATCCAGTGTGATCTGACACATTCTCGACAGATTGCACATGAACGAAATTGCCACAAACATATAACGCAGCAATGGGACTACCTTCATTTCCCTCCTGCTTGAAATACCGAAGCAAAGTTTCAGTGCATTTCCTCGCATCCTGTGTTGTCACTTGTACCAACTTATTAGCGGCATCATCATCACTTTCTTGGTCTTTCGATGCTGTCATGTGTTTTGCTGCAACGAGTGCAGCGTCGTAATCTTCATTTTCATCGTAGCATTGAAGCTCGATGTCAGTGGATAAAAATACTTCACAATTTTGTACCTGTAGAAGTTCCACATGTAAATCATCATTTTCACTTTCAATGAACATGTCCACATCCATTTCCAAAACCTAGTGTTTAAAGCCACAGTAAGAAAAACAGTTCTGAATTGTCTCACTGCTCACTTTTCGTCAGCTGTCAGCCACAAATGTAACTGCTTATAAGATGATGACCTTCGCACTGACTTTGCTGGCTTTTGATGATGAGGTCAGCAAACTTTCTTCAATTGCTTCAAGGAAGTGGCTGTTCGGTGATATCTCTTGGATGCCGTTGTGCACTGTCCGCTCAGGCGGCAATCCCAAGCTTCTTCAAGGATGTAATTAACCAACCTTGCACGATAAAGGGTCTTCAAATTTTTTATTATGCCCATCCATTGGCTGGACCTGTGAGGTAGAAATTCCAGTTTGACATTTATCAAGCAATCTAAATGAGAATGTACTGCACAATTGTCAGGAAGAAGCAGCATTTTTCTCGACTGACATTGTAGCTCTCAATCCTTCAGCCATTCTTTAAAAAGTTCAGAAGTCATCCGTGCATTTCTGTTCGCATGATACACAACCGGTAAACTCTCCATCCTAAGTCCTTTAAAGCAGTGAGGTTTAGTGCTTTTTCCTATAACCAACAGCTTCCTCTTGTCCGTTCCTGAATGTTTGAGCAGCACAAGACAGTTACGTGATCCATCGCTTTTTTGGAGCCACAGAGCAACATGTTTGTAACTTAACGAGCCGTCTGGTGTAACACAATGATACAGCCCTGTTTCATCAGCATTGTAGATTTCATCTGCTCAAAAATTTTCAAGAAGCTTGGGCAGTTTGGTTGATTTCCTTTCTTCAGCATTTGCACTATCAGCACTTTTTTTCTCGCCATGTGCTTTCTTGAATTTTATCAATTTCCTAGGTTTCCATCGAGACAACCAAACTGTCCGTAGCTTTAAAGTCGTCATGGCCCAGCTTTTTAGCGAGTTCTTCTGCTTTGCATTTTAACATTGGGCCGTTTACTTACACAAATCATCCAGTAACAATGGCAAACCATTCATTAAGGGCCTCATCGACATCTGGGTCCTTGCCTTCACGCTTCCATTTTTTGGAAGTTCCTCCTCGTCCTTCACATTGTGCCCATTCTTCTTGCAGCTCATTCTCTTGTTTTATCAAGTGCGAAATTGTAGTCTTTGCCAATCCGGTTACTTTCAACAACCGACGCTGACTAGTAATTCATAGTTGCTGCTGGATCTTATCCAGGAAACCAATTTTTTCAGCTAACGTCAAGTCCCGTCGTGGCATTTTGGCAGAGGAGACAAGACACGTGCACAGTACTTTCCAACCTGGATTGAAAAGGACTAAAAGTTCTGCTGTCTACCAACTCAAATGAAGAATGATTCTGTTTCGGAAATTTAACGCAGTCTGTTCAAAATTAGAATGAAAATTTGGTAGTTACCCAAATTGGTAAATCTCTTCATTAATCAATATGAGTATGTCATGGATATCGCACGGAGCACGACGTATCCTGCTCAATGATAAATATGCCACATGGGTGCATGAGGGTGAAAACCGGACGAAGCAAAGGGGCGTTTTCTTTTATTTGGTAATTCATTCTCCGAATACCGGCAGCTGTTGATTTTGGTTTTGTAATATCACATGCGGAAGAATTAAGGTGCACGTATTGCGCAATAACATTTGCAATATTTTACTTTGCATGCTAAGCAGATTATTTTTTAGTTCCTTTTGGCTATTTTTTATATGATGCACATATCGAAATGTCAAAAGCATTATTTAGCTGAAAAATCTAAGAACAGCTGCGATTTACGCCCTTCCTCTTTTACCAGTTACGCTCGACTATCTGGAATTTTCAGATATTCAGCAATTTCCGAGTATGCTGGTTAGTTAAGCTTTTACTGTTAAAGGATGACTGCAATTTCCCGTCTTCCGATTTTAGAAAAGTTTAAATTACTTTGCTCGCAATATCTGTTAAGGGAAAATTGTTATACAATGAAAATTTAGAAAATGTTCAGAATTTTGATTTAAGTTAAATTATTTAAATATTAATATAAGTGGGAAAATAAATTGTATTTATTTTTAGGTGACAAGTAAGTATAATAAATATGGCTTATTATTATTTATTTTCTCTATTTTGAACTGAAATTTCATCATTAAATCTTGTAATATAATTTAGTTCTGCATAGTTATTTTTCCTCTCATTGTAAACTAGTTCTGTAAATTGAGGTGTTATTTAAAATTTTTTAAAAAAGAATGAAATTGTTTTCCATGATTGAATAATGCTCATTCTCTCTTAATAAATACTGAATTTCTCATATTTTAAATTACAAGTCTAATTTTTCTTTTAAGTTTATGCAATTGTGTATAATGTAATTAGACAGATGTTTATTTTATTTAACTAAAATGTGGCTATGAACGCTGTAGTAGTACCAAGAATTAAATTCTCTACTTTCATGCTGCTTTGTAAACAGGGACAGGAAATAGCTTGCAAAATCTAGTTCATGATATGTAGGAATGAAATACTGTCATCCGATGTTGTTATTCTGGTTACTTTAGATACCCATACATACTTTGTCTTAACTTTCATTTTAAATTCATATTTTAATCTATCCTTCCTTTTCAGGTTCATGATTGGTTGTGACATGTGTTCTAATTGGTTCCATGTTGAATGCATTGGATTAACCGAATTGAAAGCCAAATCCATGTCTAGATACGTTTGTAATGATTGTACCAAAGCAACTGAAACTGCTGCAGAAGAATTGTATTGTTTATGTCGTTCACCTTATGATGAGTCTCAGTAAGTATAAAATATAAAGAATATTTTAATATGAACTTTATGTTAGGCTTCTTGTTTAGTTTGTCTAAACAAAAGATTAAGAGTCGTATTATAAATACCAAATTATTTTATACAATATGTGAATATAGTATAAAATAATTTTGGTATTCTTCTTTAGTTTGTAGAAATGTCACCGAAACCAATTTTTCATTTTGATAATTGCTCACTGTGCTGTCCTTGTTTAAAGAACTGAAATGCCTGTATAAGCAAAGAAAATCGAAACACATTAGAAAAGTAAAATGAAAATAACTTTCTTTCATTTAAATACAAAAAAAGAAACTATTGCTTTAATGAGAAATAATACTAGAAATTAAAAGCATTTAATTTAAAAGTCTAAGCAACATTTGTATTGATAGCCCACCTCAAAGGCAAAAATCGTGCATTTGTTATATGCACCAGCACGAGTTACATTTGTCAGTAAAATATGTTATAAAAATATAGTATGGTGGTGGGTTTTTTTTTTTTTTTTTTTTTTTTTTTTTGTTCTATTAGGTTTGTTTGAAATTTTCCTGAGACTTGATATCATATTGGGTTCCTGTTAGAATAATTAAGTATCAGTTGTTAGTAGTCCTCATGAAGAATGACATGAGATGGTTGCAATGTCCATAATGATTAATGAGTTAATATTTGGTAGTATGTAGTAGCTAAAACTAAAATGCCAATAATTCTGATGCATTTTCATGACATATTTATTAACAAAGAATTAAATATTATTTAACCAAAATGGAGGATTTTACAACATTGAATTAGTGAATCTTAAAACAAATCGTTTCTTCTCCCCCCTTCCCCCCTCGTTTCCACCCGTTCTATCATTTTTTACAAGTAAATTAGCATTTCATAGTGATTCAAGAAATCTCCTATAATATGCAAAAATATTAAAGTTTGTACCAGCTTATTACAGCCCATCATATTACTGCATAACAAAGTTGTGCATACATAATTATAAGAAAACTGGGAATGGCTGATTGCTTTAAACTAAAGGGTCTTCAACCCGTGGCCCCCTGAAGGGATTTTGGTGGCCCCACATTTGCATTTGAAAAATTTGAAGAAATTTTGATTTCAAGAAAAATTGCTTTGTCAGCTTTTTGTCGCAATAGAAACTTTTTTCCCCTCTTATTCTTGATATTTAAAACATTTTATTCACATGCCTTATATGTGAAATAAGATTTTCTGAAAATGATGAATTTAAAAAAAATTTCACTTTTTCTTATTAATTTATCTTATGTAATATTGTTCCAACTCAACTTCAATTAGAATTTATAGATTTACAGTGTGAGTCTGCAGTAAAATGTAAGTTTCTTGAAAATCCTACATTAATTGATTTCTTATTCGAAGTATGTGACTGAAGACAAGTATCCAGGAATTCGTAAACATGCAATCTTCATGCCTTCTATCTTTGGCAGTACCTAAATATGTGAACAGCTTTTTTTGTAAAATGAAAATCCTAAAATCAAAACCAAGAACACGGCTGACAGATAAACATTTGGAGGAAACTTTATGAATTGCAACAACACAGATAACCTGATATTGAAGCTTTAATCAAGCAAAAACGATGCCAAATTTCACTTTAAAACTAAAGTAACTACCTAAAGTTAAAGTAGCTATCTAAAACTTTTAATTCAATTTCCAGTGTGTATTTTAGAACCAATATTTATATATACAAATCTGTAACACTATCTCTTCGCTTAGAATCTATTGTAGTCTTGCAACACACACCTCCCTTTTTTATATAAATTTTCTGACTACACTATGTTTTGACGAACGATGTGGCCCGCGGATCTTTGTGAATTTATTGATGTGGCTCTCGGGCATGAAAGGATGAAGATCCCTACTTTAAACAAAATATATAAATTTACAGCATTATATATTTTTGCTTAGCAATGTAAAAGGCATTGTTCCATTTGTCTTGAACATATAGAATATTGTTATGTATTGCAGTATGAATGGATCATATTAGATGAACTAACAGTTTTAAGCTGAAAGATCATGTAGTTCAGAAGTTTCAACTTGCTAGCATAACTAGTTTGTGCAAGTATGTTTATCTATGAAGAGCCAGATGTGTTTTGATAAAAGTAATGGGAATATGATAAATATTCTTTGATGAAATTAAGTACTTAACTGTTAAATTAATACTTAGTTTGACTCATTTCTGATGTCTGTGTAAATAAATTTTGGAATAACTTTACAAATGATGTATTAACATTGAAATATTTCCTCTTTTAATTTTAAGCTTTTAAATGAATGTTTAAAATGTGTTAAAACCAGCTTAATATTTTTGTAATTCATTAATTCTTAAATATGTACTATAATTGACAAGAATTTTGTTTTTCAAATTTTCAGTTTAAAATTTTTAGAGTGGTAGAAATGTAAATATATAATTTACATAATGCATAAATATAATACTTAATTTTTTGCTTCTTGCATTTGATAAATTTTGACATCCCTCTTTCCAATAAAAATTTTACGCAGAGTTTCTCACCCTTCCTTTTTTATTGTATATAATATACAATAATTAATTATATATTAAATAATGAAATTTGTTGTACAATATGTAAAAAAATGAACAATTAAAAAGGAGGAATTTTACTAAAACTTACACTTGAATGCTCAAATTATAAACTTTTATTTTAGGTTTTATATCTGCTGCGATCGATGCCAAGATTGGTTCCATGGTAGGTGCGTTGGTGTGTTGCAGAGTGAAGCGGATTCTATAGATGAATACATCTGTCCAAACTGTCAGAGTAACACTGAAATTAATCATGCAAATTTGAAGTTGCTTGAAAGTAAAGATTATGAAAATATTAGGCGACTCTTGAAAACTCTCATGGTAATTGCAGCTCTTTATTTATATATTTTTTTATGCTCACCTTGAAAGACCGAAATTGGAGAATGTTGACTTTCACCGGAGAATGTCAACATTCACGAAATGCGTTGGTGAAAGATCGAATATTGCATTACATTCTTGTACATTCGGACCCTCACCGGTGTATGTCGACAATCACAGATATTCTCTGGTGTAGGTCGAAAAGAGAGGAGTATATGTATGTGCTGTCATTGCAAAAGGAAGTGTTCCACAAATAAATGCAGTTGTAAAAGCAAGGACCTCTTGTGCAATTCAAAGTGTCCTAATAGTTTAAGTTCTTGCAGTAAATAAGATTTGAATCACATAATTTAGTAAATTTTTAACTTCTATTATTTTCCTTTCTCATTTTGAATGTACTGTGTGTTTTAAGTTCTTAAGTTCTCATTTTAAGTCTCAAGTACGTTTTTTTGAGACTGAATTATGGAGAAGAAAATATTCTTATATGTTCAACATTCACCATTAGCACATGGTGAATGTCGACCTTTACCGGTGTAAAATAAGAGTATTTGGGACATTCACCGGTGAAAGTCTACATTCTCCAGATTTCGGTGTTTCACCGTAACATATATATTTATGTGAAATGGCATTTAAAGTTTGATATTGATAATTATTGTTTTTTAAATTAAAGATGAATATGCTGTATTCAGGAACATCCTATCTTGTTTTTAGTTTTATTTAATATAAAGCATGAAATTTCTGTGGGGTTGGTAAAAATAATTAACACAATATTTTTTTTAAATAGTGATTGATAACTTATTTTGCCAAATGGATTTATGAAAGAATTTTATTAGTACTTCTCTACTTAAAATATTTGACTGAGATTGTATGCTTTGACTAAGATTATTTTTCATTGTGAGTGATGGGAAAGGCTGCTGATCTAAGTAAATTTGATAAAAGGCAGATTGTAATGGCTCGAAGACTCAGAATGAGTTTCTCCGAAAATGCATGACTGGTACGTTGTTCACGATCTGCTGTTGTTAATATTTATGCAGAGTGGATAAATGACAGTCAGACCAGTTGTAGATGCCAAGGTGTTGGATGTCCACATGTCATCAAAGAAAACGGACGTTGTCCCACTTTGTATAGAAAAATCATCACCAGACAGTGGCTCAGCTGCTAGCCCAATACATTGCAGGTCCAATTGCAAGTGTTTTGGAACACAGTTCCATGCACAGTGCGGGGTATGGGACTGCACAGCAGATGACCCACTCATGTGCCTCTGTTGACTAAGCGTCATTGTCAACTAACTACGCCTACAGTGGGCCTGAGGCCATAGAGACTGGACCATTGATTTAAAGCCCGTCCCATATTCAATTTGGAACAAACCATATATGAAAATAAAAGCCAGAAGTGTAAATTGCATAAAAAGTGCAATAAATGTTAAAAGAAAAAAGTTAAATAACACTGCATCATCGTCAGGGGGTTAGTGCAGTGAAAGAAGTAAATATATCATCCTATTTCTAAACAAAGAGACACATTAAAATACTTAAAATAATCTCAGAAAATTAATAAAATGTAATCTGTGTCTTTATCAGTTCAGTCCCTATAGGATGTAGTAAGAAGTGCAAAAAAACTTCAAAACCATAAACAAGCGTTAAAAAAAAACTTTCCCACTTTTTAAACAGACAGAATTTCCCTCCTAGAAAATGTGTGTGTAAATAAGAGCAATCCAGAGCATGAAAAAATGGTAGCATATGAAAATTTGAAACCACCAAGGCCAGAGTAGAAAATCGGAAAATTATAGAATGAAAACTTTAAATAAGTTTACGAAAGTGACAAAAGAAATTTTTGAGAATTTCAATTGACAGTTCAGTCGGAATTCTTGACATGCCAACTATAGGATTTGAATTTTGTAACTGAATAAGTAAACAAGAGGTTATATTTGTCTGTAAAATTAAAGAGAAAGCACACACAGACCCCCTCCCACACACACACAAAAAAAAAAGAGAGAGATAGAGGGGGGGAAGAAACAGCCTAAACAATTTACCTCGAAATGTTTAATAAAAGAAGCAAATATTGAGCTCCCTCCTTTTTTTTTTTTTTTTTTTTTTTTTTGGTAATTTTCATTCCTTTAAAGTCATAAATGTTTTTTTATGTCACAAAAAGTATTTTCTATTTTTATGTTCTTCGCATATCATGCTAATATTTGAACTCGCAATCTAAAATCTGGAACTTTCCAGAAACACCGAAGTCCTGACGAGTCTGAATCTCAGACTTGTTAATATAACATGGAATATTGTATCTTTTATAGTGTTAAGTAGTACTCATAATTTCGTGTAACTGTAGCTGAACATGGAACAGTTTTTCCAGAATACAGAAGCACCTACACTCAAGAGCCAAAACATTATGACCAGCCCTACATTTTGCAATGAACGTGTCTGGATGACGTGGAAGGTACATGATCAGGTGGAAGTGGTATTTAACTGCTAATGGGGAGTCTGAAGAATCATTCTTTCACTTACTTCTGTGTGTGATGGGAAAGGCTGCGGATCTAAGCGACTTTGATAGAGGGCAGATTGTAATGGCTCGAAGGCTCAGAACAAGTATTTCTGAAACTGCACGACTCGTGGGTTGTTCGCGATCTACAGTTGTTAGTACGTAAGAAAAGTGGATGAATGACAGTGAAACCAGCAGTAGACAACGTGGTGTTGGACCTTCACACGCTATCAAAGAAAAAGGTCGTCGGAGACTGTCTCTCATGGTGAAGCAAAACTGGAGCCAGACAGTGGCTCAGCTGACAGCCGAATACAATGCAGGGCCAAGTAGAAAAGTATCAGAGCACACTGTTCAGCGGACACTGTTAGATATGGGGCTTCGCAGCAAACATCCCACTTGTGTGCCTTTGCTGACCAAGCATCATCGCCAACTGCGTCTGCGCTGAGCCCGGGAACATCGCGACTGGTCCATGGTTCAGTAGGAGAGAGTTGCCTGGTCAGATGAATCACGGTTTGTCATTCATCATGCTGATGGCCGTGTCAGGATACGCCATCTTCCAGGCGAACAGTTGCTCTCTCAATCACAGTAGGTCATACACAGGCTGGTGGTGGTGGTATTATGCTCTGGGGGACGTTCTCTTGGGCGTCTCTGGGACCCATGGTTGTGGTAGAGCAGATCATGAATGCTACAGGGTATCTGAACATCATTGCGGACCAGTTGCATCCTTACATGGCCTCTGTGTTTCCAGCTGGAAACGGAATGTTCCAACAGGACAACACCCCGTGTCACAAGACTACAATTGTGTTGGAGTGGTTCCAGGAACATGATGCTGATTTCCAGTTAAGGTCCTGGCCTAACTCACCAAATCTCAATCCGATAGAACACATTTGGGATATCATGGGATGGCAGCCCACCAATTCGCAATATCTCGGATTTGCGTGACCGTTGCTACAACATCTGGTATAATCTGTCTCCGGTCATCTATCAAGGACTTGTGGCATCCATGCCAAGGTAGGTTGAAGCTGTGTTACGCGCCAAAGGTGGCCCAACTCGTTATTGACAGGTGGTCGTAATATTTTGGCTCTTGAGTGTATATTGTATGGACTCATTAAATGAGTTATTTTTATAAATTGTAACTAATGATTAAGAATTAAGGTAAATGACAGTGCATTGTTTTATTATTCATTCATTGTATTTTCACTTGTTAGTAAAGCTTCTTATAAATTTATTGAAAGTTATATATTTTTCCCTAGTCACATAAGCATGCTTGGCCATTTATGAAACCTGTGGATCCCTTAGAAGCTCCAGATTATTACAAAGTCATTAAAGAACCAATGGGTAAGTGACTTTATTTTTAAATTAGTAATATGAAAATAGAATACTTATTTCTTTGTGTATTAAATATCTAATGACATTTTTAAAATATTCCCAGTTCTGTTTTCACATTGATTTTCATTTAACACGATTTAAAGAAAATATCAGTTTTTTCATGTATGATTTGTCTTGATATACCACAATTCATACAGCCTTTAATTCACTCCTGAAAAATATTCCTGTTCAGTGGAATATTTCCAAGAATTTATATTGATAAAAAGATATTGATTTTATGGTTATATTTTTACAGTAGTTTTTTATCTTTGTAAAGTGGCAGCATTGAATTCCAGGTGTTCCTCTTAGTGTTCTGAACTGCATGGATTTTTTTAAATTTTCATCTTCTGTGTGTTTGATAATCTTGTTTTCTCTCTTCATGTGTATTTTGTGTTATTGTTAGGTATCCCATATCTACCAAGTTTTATGAAAGTTTTGTAATTTTTGCAGAAGCTGTTGTTGTACAATCTTACAAGCAAAATCCTCTTCCTTTTTTTATCCTATTTCGCAAATTTTTCTGAAAGAGCAAAAAATTTGTGCTAATTTGGCAGTCTGCCCCCAAATACACTTTAACATGCATACTTTTGACAGGTATTTGAATTAGTCCTGTTTGCTTCATTAAAAAAAGTTTTACTTCATTAGAAATTCTTCATTAAAAAAAGTTTTAGCACCATGCAGTAGTTGTTCAGTAAATTCAATGTAAATTACTGTGATGTTGAGCATTAATAAGTCTTTAGGAGGTTCTGTGACACGTGAATTAACTGATACTTTGTTCCATTTCATGTTGGAATCTTACGTGTTCTTTGTGGGGCATGCATTCAGTTTTGGTCAGGCTTCCATTATTTCTTTTAACCCTTTAAGCGTGTAGCATTTGCTCCTGCGCGTGCACTGCAGTGGGGACGATGACGAGGTGAGTTCGTCAAGCATGCTTAAAGGGTTAATCATGTTGGCCCTTTCCATTATATGCTATTCTGTTTGATTTCAAGTGTATATATATAATTTTTTCCTAAAATTAACTTATTTATTTTAAATCTAGTCTTAAAAATATTGAATTTTGTTGAAATTTTTTTTAATATAGACATATATTTCAGTCTTAAACTTGTTTGCAGTTATGTGAATTTGTATAATTTTCTCTCTGCATAGTGTTCGCTCTTTCCACTGCAAAATCGTTCTATATATTCAATTTTTCATATATAATAACATAATTTTGTCCCTACAGGAAGTTTCTTTTGAAAAAATGTCACTATTTATTTCCTGTGCAAGGTCACCCCGTCCTTTTAGAGGCTTTGATTTAGATCGTTAGCAGAGTCACTTTTTAAAACTTGACACCCTGATGGATTATTTCTTTCATGATTGGTCAGTTCTATATGTCTAATGGTGCAAAGCTGCAGTTTTTCAACTAAGAAATTATAGCTCCATTCTGTTGGAAAACTTTTTTTCCTCTCCTGAATCTGTGCTACCTGTGATCTGTTTCCAGTATCTCAGATAAATCCCAGTGTGAACGGTTCTTAATGGGTAACTTAGATTGAAACAATGCTATCCTGTTAATTTTTTTAAATTTCTGATCTATTTCATAAATTTTAAAATTTATAAACTGGTTAACTTTACTGCCCAAAACACATTATTCCATATAATGCCAGGATACAAAAGAGCATGTTATGCAAATTTAAACTGTCTGTACAATTCGCATAAAGGAATATGCGAATTCGGGGGTGGGGGGTCAACAACTGAAGACAAAAATGTGTTTGGAAATAAAGTAAATAATTATTTTATCAAAATCTGGATTTAGGACATAATAAATTTTTATTTTATATATTAATAGCTGATTTTGTTTAACCAAAATTAAATTTTTGGCCAATCTGTTAATGATAATTCTTTACAGGGAAAGTTTTAAGAGAGGCAGCAATTATTAATTATATTTTCCATATTTGTTTAACCAGTGAGTATGTAATAAAAAATTGTCTCCTTTCATAAAATTTTAAATTAGAATTTGTAATGAAAAATAACTGTAGAAGAAATATATTAATCTAAAGATCTTTATATTTTGTAGGTATTTTTCTCATTAGTTTTTGTGTATATTTGTTGTTTTTTACTAATATTTAATTCTTGGGAAATGTTTATAATTATATTAATTGTATTGTGTTTTTATATACAGATTTGAAAACTGTAGAGCAGAGGTTGAATTCACATACTTATAAAAGGCTTGCTGACTTTATTGGTGATATGACAAAAATATTCGACAATTGCCGATACTACAATCCAAGGTCATCTCCTTTCTACAATTGTGCTGAAATGTTAGAATCATTTTTTGTACAAAAAATTAAGTTATTCAGAGAGAGTATCACATGAATGTGGGAAACATTGAGTTATGACAGTTATGCTATCAGCTGCTGAAGATTGTTTGGTCTGTATGATAAAAAGACTCTCAGAGTGTATGTTTATTTAAGAATGCTATTCCCACCCATGCATAAAATTACTGTAAAATTAAAATTTTTCATGAGGAAAAGGTATCTGATAGATGCTTGAAAAAAAGTTCAAATATTCATTTTTAGTAACCTCTCTGGGCTCATCTGCTTAAGTACCTGTTGCAAATATTTCATCAGCAGATTGGAATAATTGTGTGAAGTAACTCAAGATTTTTGTAAGAACTTACTTGCATAATTTTATCTGAAAATGGGGCTTGTAAATAAATCTGAATGTCAGCCTGCATGTGTTAGCAAATTGTGGGAGCCCCAGCAACATTGCACCTGTATTATACTGTAATTTGTGGACAACTAAAGGTTTTAAGCTTAAATTTTACAACTAACCTTTTTGTACGAAATACAATATCATCAGTGTACTAAAAATCATAAAATCATTATGTAATTTCATTTGTCATTTTATGAATGAGAAACATGTTCTCAGATGTTGTGTATAAAATGTAAAATGTTTTCCATAATTTGAGATAAGTTAAGAAATTCTCAAAACTTTTACAGCTTAGTGTGAATTATGACTATTGTCTTATTAATAGTAAAGGTTCACTTTTTACATATGATTATGTTACATAAAAGATTAAATCTGGAATAAAAATGTTCTTAGTATAAAAAAGCAAATATATTTTTGATTATTTAAACTGAAGAAATTGTTTATTTTCAGCTGCTATTTTCAGTATATCTACTACTGTTACTTTTTCCTTCATTTTCTCTCTGTTAATATCTTTGATTTTTTACTGTTAGTATGCTATACGCTATGTTATAATTTCTTATTTATTTTTTGGTAAATTCTCTCAAATAACTTGATTAGATTTGAATTGTTGCTTATTATGATATCATAGATAAGGATCCCACTTCTAGTTAAGTTGCTATGAAATATTTGAAATTATAGTTGCCTTTTAAATCCATAGCATATATTTGGATGCGAATTTATATTGGTTTGTTTTAAATTTTCTAATACAGAATACGCTCAGAAATCAAACTTGGTGAAAGTACATTTTTAGAGGTACGTTTTATACGTTGTTTATTATCTGAAATTTAAAAACAGCAATTAATGATTTATAGTATTTGAATAATACCTAAATAAATTGTCTGGTCTTTAAATTGTATTATTAAGATGCTTAAAAATGTGTAGTATTTTAGATTTTGGTTGAAATTATAATATATATTAAAATATAATTATATGTTAATAGTGAACTCATTGATAGCACCAGATCTGATAATACTGCGAGCTGTATGTAAATATCAATTGTGTATATTACAGTATGCATTTCTCATTGTATATTTTGCCATTTCATCATAGAAAAAAACGTGGAATTTTTTTAAAGGCTTTTGGCTGTTTGTTTTGTTTTAGAAAGTAATCTATTGAGATTACTGCAATAATTCAAATTTGTATGTTTTCCTGTTGCTTGTTAATTAAATCCCTATCTTGTAAAGAAAATTGATTATATACTGCCTGAAATGTTGAAAGAACCAAGAATATTTCACTTTTTTAAAGAGCTAACATTTCAGTTGACCCAAAATTTTGTAATTGATTCTTTAATTTTGTATTGTAAGTACAAACCTGTGTATGATGTTAACAGTTTTTAAATATCATAACATTTGTTTTGATACTTTAGATAATTCTTCCTGGTGACTTCTGATCCCAGATTAAATATTTGACTTATTATTAATGGGAAAATTATTTATATTGATAATATTTATAAAAAAAATATGATGTTTCTTTCTGGAGATGTGTTATATCCACAGGTTTTCATGCTTAATTTTCATATGAGCAACTAAATTTCAGGAAATATGTTATTTTCTTTCAGTAACAGAGAATTTTATTTCATTTATTTTGAATGTATAGAAGGAAAGGAAAATAGATATAGAAAAAAAGGAAAAGGTCTGTAGGAAATAGATTTTAATAGCTTAGACTGAAACAGTACTTATATCTAACTTAGGACTGAAACAATGCTATGCTGTTAATTTTTTTTAATTTCTGATCTACTTCATAAATTTTTAAATTTATAAACTGGTTAACTTTACTGCCCAAAACACATTATTCCATGTAATGCCAGAATACAAAAGAGCATGTTATGCAAATTTAAACTGTTTGTACTATCAAATTTGTATTATATATTTTTGTTGTATATCTATTACAATTTTTACAATAAAAAACATATAATATACATTTAATAGAGAAAAATTAAATTCGCATATTCCTTTATTGTCTGGCATTATATGAAGTACTTTGAATCTGGGTAGTTATTTAAATTCTTAGCTGTCAGTATTTTAATGTATTCAGAGAAGGGTATTAAATTGAAAAATTTAAGAAAAATATTTTGAGGAATTAAATGAGAAGAAAAGGTTTTATATTGAATTTGTGTAAAATGTTTTCCTTTAAAGTGATATCAATATGAGAGTTCATGAGATTTTTCAACTGTTCCTGTGTTACTAGATTGTGTACACAGTTAGTAATACAGACTGACAAATACTTGATTTTATATAATATCTTAAATATTTTCACTTACAGCATTATGTGTCAGTTTAGAAAATAGATTAATATAGGCATGTAATATTTATATCCTATTCGTGTATTTTCACGTACTGATTTACTGGGGACAGTGTCCATAGTTAGTTCAAATTAATGGTAAATCCCAAGTTCAGGAGGGGGGGGATAACCACATTATAATTAAAAGAAATAACAACTCCGATTTTCAAGCAGTTTGGAAAATAATGGTTATCACTATTCTAAATAAAAAGAACAGAAATAACAGAAAAATAAATATAATTAGAAATTAAGTTAGAAAAGATTCATTAAAGAACAATATTTGTAAAAGAATTTGAATGTCATTGAGCATCTAATAAATATTAATTAGATGCTTGTTTTTTTGGCAGTTTTTATAAGATTAGTGATTTTATCTCGGAATATGTAGAAAAATAGTGTGACATCATTTGTAGTCGCTTCTATAATACCATGAATTTTTTGTTTAATGTTGATTGTTTGTGATAATTTTTGCATCACTTTGGAGCAAAGGAGGTAAACTTTTTTTAAAGATAGGGTTGACTGTATCTGTATGTTAAGTACAATTCAGTCTGAGCATGCACATCATCCCAATGTTTCATTTTCTGTTAAAAGTGTTACGATATAATTAAATGTGAATTTCAGTTTTTTAACAATAGCTGTTGTATGTTTTTGCTTTTGAGAAGGATTTTAATATTTTTCACAATAATTCATTGTTTAAAAAAGTAATATATTTATAGAATTATGTATGGTTTCAGAGTTATTCTAAATTATATGGAGATTTTTAATGGACGGGAATTTTAGTTACATTGTAAATTGCCTGAAAAGCTGTGAACACTTCTTCCTTTTATTCTAACTTCCTTCTATTAGCATTTGTAACCATTAAGTAGAAAAGTGAAATAAATTAGATTGTTTTAATGGTAACAAAATAAATGCCTGTGGAATTTTTAAGAATATTTAAGTTTTAGAAATTGCCATGTAAAAGAATATTAAAAAGTTGTATTATCACTGATGCTCTGCTTCTTAACTAAACATGGAAGATCACTTTAACACATAAGATAATAATACTCAGTTATCAAACTTTTTCCTACAAATGTAATAATTTTATTGCTAAATCAAACATTTAGAACTTTTATTAACATTTGTGTACTTCGCAGCAATCTTTATTATTTGTCATCAAACTGATTATTTCTTATTGAAACTAATGCATAATTAGCTTTGGTAATAAAAAATCAAGCCTCTGTTTTCGTTTGATGCAAGTTCTTGTTTTATAATTCAAAAAACGTTGTTCAAAAATATGTAATTCATGTTTATTTTTTTATCTTTTAAGCTTAAACTCTATTTTTTTTAAATGAAAAGTAACAAATTAAAGCATTTTTTAAATGTGCTTTTTCAAACATTTGTGGAATTAATATCCTTGTTTAAGTTCCTGTTTAATTTATCTATCAGAATATTATCTAGCAGGTTGTTTATTCTTCACATAATCTTTCTCTTTGTATTTTAAAAATGGAATTGTGGGATCAGAAGTATCTTACTGTTTTAATCTTTTGCATTTTTTAAAATTAGTTTGCTATGATAATAGAAGTATTTTTATTTAAATATCCTGATTTTTTTTTTTTTTTTTTTTATAATCATGATAATTTTGTTTTGAAATTACATTGCTGGTGTATATTTAAGTATTGACCTTTTAAAATGCAAAATGAACAAGAACTCTTTCTTTACTAAGCAGTGCATATAATTTTATTAAATGTTTTACTGTATTGAAACACCTGCCTTTATATTTGATGACTTTTTTCTTCAACTTATTTAGATTGTAAATATACTGGATGCGCTTTAGAGTTAATTGAATTAACATCATTTGGAACCTGTAAATTTGCCTCACAGATTTCTAGAATTTGGGACATCTGTTTATATTGTCAGACTGTTTTAAGGAAGATGAATCATCTTTCTTATAACCTAAATTGACTTGTTTTGACTTTGAAAATTTCTTCAAGGTCTTTACATATATATTGGAAAAAAATAAATATATATATAAGTATGCAAGTTATAATATATAAAGTTCATTTACATTTTTAACCTTAAGAAATTATTTATTTATTTAAATAGCATTTTTTGTGGATTAAGAAATGACATTCAAAACTCAGTTATTACCCTGTAATTTTATTTTAACGACTTTCTTGTATATTGTTATAGTCCTGTGTATATAATGCTATTTACAATAAGAACTGATTGTAATTTGTACCATCCACATAGTGGTACAATCACCAAATTTGTAGATAGTAAACAGCAATGCTGCGTGCTTGTGAATGTCATTTGTATTTGAAGTATTAAAAAGAGGAATATGAGATGTTCATTTGCTCAGTTTATTTTATTATTTATTCATTTTCTCTCCCTATTACAATTATTACAACCATTAATAATATGAGCCTTTTTTTTTTTCAGAAAGTTTTTCATGAATGCTTTTCTCTCCGTAGGCATTTTGGCATAATCAAAACAAAATGCTTGAAATGTTGCACACAGCTGTGTGCAGCATCCAGCAGGTGGTTTACTATTACTTTGAAATGTTCCATCTTAAATGACTAATACTGACATCTAATTGATCACAGTTTTTGATATGGAAATCTAATCTACTCTGAGAGAAGCGCCGAGATAGCAGAATTTCAGAATTCCACCCATTTGCTACTATAAACTTGCTAGATCTTTTTATCACATATAATACATTTGAACGTTATTTTGATAATCAATAACTAGTCTGTAGGTTTCTAACAATGTTTCCTTTCGTGATCAAGCCATTGCAAGAAAACATTAAAATAATGAATATTTTTTTAAAGAAAATTTTGAATTATAAAAGTAAATGATTTTTAAATTTTTGCCTAGCTTCTTTATCCAAACTTATTTCATAAAATTTTCGATTTTAATTAGAAATTAGGGAAAGTCTGTGTGATATCTTTTTATCCCATTTCAACCTAAAACATATTTTTTAAATTTACTATTTCATTTTTTTAAATTTATTTAGTACAAAGAGCTAAGAAAATATGTATTCGAATGAAAATATTCTACATCAAATATTAATACTAAAATTATCTTCGTTTGTTCATTTTTTGAACTTGTATGTACAAATTTTTAACCATTTAAACCAAAACTTGCAATTTTAATATATTATTTTTTAAGCCGATTCATTATTTAGTTAAATTTACCTTGTGGCCTTGTAGTCAAAGGCTATACAAACTGATTTAATGCAAAGTTGGCTCAAAACCATTCGGTGGCATCAGTGGCGTAGCAAGCATAACTGGCGCCAGGGGCAAAATACCTTTTTAGCGCCCCCTCCCAAAAAAAAAACTTTCAGTAATATAATGTATAGAATATATTCATAATAAGAAAATAATGCAAATAAAAAATAAAATGCTGAATCTGCCATAAAATACTCAAAAATATATTAAGAATAGTCACTACCTAACTACACTAGCCTTGGATTCGGAAATGCATCTGTGTCGGCGGAAAAATCAGACATACGATGATCTAGAATTAATTAAAAACGTATTATTTATTTTACATATTTATATAAGTGTTTTTAAAAAGTAAAATTTTTAAACAATTAAAAGTTTAATATACGTTATAGATAAATAGATACATGGCAACTTGCCTACTATTAAATCAACTCTGCCAGTCTAGTAACCCATAGCAACCAAAAAAATAATAATAATATTTATTTTACTCAATTGTTATAATTATTTAATGAATTGTCTCAAATTGTTCTACCATAATTGGTGACCCATATTTATTACAAATAGCAACCTTCAATGTTGCACGAATATGGTTTATATGTCAAAATTCTGAGCACCAGTAAGTTATCCAGTGTGATGAGATGCAAGTAAGACATTTCACCTGTTATTTTAAGCGTTCTGCGGCATTCCGTTGAGTCAACATATTTGCCATAATTTGAGCAGATATATGTATCGTCTGCTGCATTTGAGCCGCCAATTTCTCTGATTTTAAGTACCAAGAAACTGTGTCACTATATACATATCGATTATTTTTCTATACATATTATTATTATTGTGCATATTTGATTGATCTAAAGTGGTTGACAACGATGCTGCTTCACAATTAGCGCGAGTGGCAGTTAAGCCACCGCCTTTTTTTCGCCGAAACCCATTGTTATGGTTCATTCCATGGAGGTAGGAAGTAAGATGGAGTCACCCTAAACAAGTTTTTCCGGTACCCTGCTCTGAAGCACAAGCGATCCCTACATGGTGACCAAAACATTGGGTCATTTACCATTGAGTTCTATGGGATTTGACGCATTCGGATGTAAATATTTTGTAATTACATCGTAAATATACATATAAATGTATATATTTTCTTTTTCTACAACACTTCAGTGTTCTAAGTATGTGAAAACAACATATTTTTAAACAACATTTCATTCTGAAAGGAATTAAATGCTATACTTTTCACAGGACAGTTTTCTCAGAATGGTTTAATTTGAATGTGATATTTTCACAAGTTTTCGTTAATTACATTAGGAAAAAAAATTAAGGTAATTCGATTTTATTCGGTTAAGGTACAAAAATTAAGATCAAAGTTTATTTTATTATTAATATTAAAATTATGCATTATTTCTTTTCTATTTATAGAGCTTCTTCCTAAAATACTTTCTTAAATATGACATGATTTTTTGGCTTCTTTTAAAATCGAAAAAATGTAAGTCAATTTATAATTAATGCTCTATTCGGTTCATTTTAAATTAGAGAATTATTAGGAATTAGCAAAATACTTTAAAGAAGTATTTCGCTAATTCCTAATAATTAAATAGGTATTAAATAGTATTTGACTTTCTCTGAACATTTCTGAAAGGGAATAAAATGAGTTTTTTTTTTTTTTTTTTTTTTAAGTATTATTTAAAACTTGTAACTGAGTTATTATAAAATGTAAAGGGAATAATTCTTTTAATTATACTTATCAGATTTTTTTTTTTTTTACCCTTCATTTCAACAATACATATTCCAAAACTCTTTATTACGTTCTTAAGTGCGCATCTCATAGCATTTGCTTTACAATACCTTTTAACAGATTGCTTTCCAATACGAACAATTCTTGCTTAAATAGTTTTATAATGTATTTGTCAACAGGATTTCAATTTATGTTTACAATTCAATATTAAGGTTATTATATATTTAGATAACATTTATAATCATTATAAATTAGATACATTTAATCATTAGATTTCTTCACAGTACTTTCACAGTTGTTTATAAGTGAATAAATTCTTCATTTCAAATACATTTATAAATAATTTAATGAATATTTAAGTATTTTGTCAAAGGCAGATACATGCTTTTTGCAAGCACATGCATAAATACCCATACATATTTCCTATTTATCATTTACGGCATGTGCAAATCTTTAATTTCTGTGCATTCACTATATTTTTCGTGTAAAGTAATTTACACTAATTTAGCATACACCCGAAAGTTTTACATAAAAAATATATATGAATATAATTTGAATGAAAATTATAAGTATTATTTTTAATACCACTCAAAGGTCAGTTTTTCTTCAAAATTCCTCCACGATGGCATCTCTCTCTTTAGGCAGATAGCCCTTGCATGCGTTACTCTATTTAATAAAAACTTAATCTGACCTATGTGCCTAATTACAAATATTTTAACATACATAATTTTATATTTACATTTAGCCATCAAGTTTCAAAATTTTCAAATCTTCTAGAAAATAAATTTTGGCAGATCTCTTTTAGCAATTTTCTTAAAATCTATATTTTTGTAGTGCAACAGCTTAGAATTTTATAAAACAAATTCATAATCAAAATCGCTGTTGTTAGTTATCGAAAAATAACCAAGATTTTTGCGTAAATGTCAGTAAACTATACAAACTGCTATTATCCATCACACTATGAATGTTTCTTTCATGCGAGAGTGCCCCTTTTCCGATTTCTATGGAACTGTCGTGTGTCGAAATACTATCAGAATCTTGTCAAGCGAGCTTCTGAATGTAAACAAAGAACACCCCATCTGGTGACCCAAGCTTCAAAGCAGTGCTTCACTTTTAGCACAGGTTGGCCCCTCCTCCCTTTCCTACCTCCATGGTTCATTCAATTGGATGTGCAGTTTAAATCGAGTCACATTACTGCCAACGAAACTCAATTTTATATAGCGATCACCGCGTTAGAATCAGATGTACTGCAATCAGCTCGTGAAATAATTTTGAAGCCACCGCCGACGGACAAATACAAATCTTTAAAAAAAAATTAATTTCTGTTTATGAAGAATCCGAGACAGTTAAAATCAAGCAGCTATTGCACGATTTACAGTTGAGTGATATGAGGCCTTCTCAATTGCTGTCTAAAATGTCAGACTTAGCTGCCAGTAACCTAACGGATAACATTCTTAAAACATTATGAATGAATAGACTCTTATCTAACATGCAAACCATTTTAGCGGCCAGTAGCGAGCCACTTAAAAATCTTCTCAAAATCACTGATAAAATTCACGAGCTGGTCATTCCAGCGCAAATACACGCAGTGCAGGCTCAGATTGATGATTTGTCCAAACAGGTTGCTTAGTTAGTAGCCATCCAAGCTGAACCTTTTCAGCACAACCGCTCTATATCACGTGGTCAAAATACACGTCGTAGCCCACTGAGGAAAAGTTATGAAAGCTCTCCTCCGGGTAATTCTTTTTACCACCACAAATTTGGAAGCAAAGGCAAGCAAATGCTGCCCACCGTGTCGTTATAACAACCAGGAAAACGAGAAGGCCGTGTCTCGAAGTCGTGAACGACAACAGACAGAATTTTGCACGCAGTTTCGTCATCGAAAATAATTTGGGCTTAAGGTTTCTTGTAGGCACTGGGGCTGATTTTCTGTCGTTCCACCACATTTTCACGAACAAAAGTGCCTTACCAATTTACAACTTTATGTAGCAAATGACACTCCTATTCAAACTTTTGGTGAACGCCTGATATCTGTTGATTTAGGATTGCGCCGCAACTTCCAATGGCCATTCATTATTATTATTGTTTCAAGTCCTATTATTGGCGCTGACTTTTTACAAAAATTTTCTTTGCTTGTCGATCTTAAGAATCGCCGTTTGATAGATTCCACAACCAACTTAACTTATCCGGGGGTAATTTGATTAAACTGATTTCGGGTAACTCCCCATAGCATCAACTTCTCGGAGAATTCCCTGCAATCGCTCGCCCAGTTATGGGTATTTCTAAGCACGATGTACTACATTATATTGAAACTAACGGACCTCCAAATGCCGCTAAAGCAAGACGCTTACCTCCGGAGAAGCTTAAAGCCGCCAAAGAGGAATTTCAATACATGATGGA